TTGAGTGACGTTTTTTATGCTATAAATATAAGTTGAAAGTCATATAGCGGTGTATGTTATGGTGGTCTATAAAACATTGTAAAATACTCTATTGTAAATAAATTTAATGGCATATTTGGCATGAATGAAAGTAAGATGGATGAAAAATGGTGAATGAAATTGATTAAAAAGAAAAGATGGACGAATAACAGTAAAAGTAGAATGGATGAAAAATGGTGAATGGAGTTCTTTGAAAAGAAAAGATGGACGGAAAAACAATTCATTCTGGCCATCATTTTTTATCCCTCCATGTTTGGGAAGAAAATGACAGCAACGGTTAAAAAGTTGGTCAATATGGATCCCACAGCTTTTATGTAATAGTTAATTATCATTTACACTAAAGAACTCATTTTAATAGATTATTCATATTTTAGGGTATTTTTGATATTTTACTAATAATAATATTTTATTATTATTAAATAAAATAATAAAAAATTTATTTCTTTTAATTTTTCATCCTTCCTACTAAATACAAAATATGAAAAATATCATTTCTTTCTTTAATAATAAAAAATTTATCACTCTTATTTTTTTTATTCCTCCAACATTTTATCATAATCTATGCATTAAATGCTTCAGCCATGGCTGGCAGCGGTTCAAATAAAGAGGCGGCAACTTGCTCAATTTTTTTCGGTTTTAATTGGCCAGTTTACATCAATTGACAAACCAGGCAGAACATTTCTAACAAAATTTTGTATTTTTGCTATAGGAAAGGGCATTTTTTTTTAGTGACTTACTTTTTTTAATAAATAAATATTTCAACAAATTTTTTATATTTTTTTAAATATTATTTCTTATATCTTATACTTTTGTTACGACTATTAAAAAAAGAGAAAAAAAAAATAAAAAGAAAGACAAATATTGAACAAAAGAGATGAAAAATATAAGAGAAGAGATAACCTATTATAAATTATTTATATATAATATTATAATGATACTCTAAATATAAAATATGACTGTAATAAAAATATATTTTACTTACTTTGAATATTTTTTGTTAGAATATATTTTTTATATTTAAATAATTAAATTTTCACTATTTTAAAATTTTAGCCATATATTATCTTAAAGAAGTTCGTAGAAGCTTCCTTTGACGGTAAAAGGCTAAAAGCTGTAGCGGTTATATGATTTACTCCATCGATATATTGTATCCAAGGAGAGAGAATGAGAGTTTAAGCATTGCCAAGAGAGACGGCACGGCAGTGAGCAACCAAGGGTAATCATTACACTTTAATGCAAATTACAGTTATATACCCTTTTATATTCCATTTGTTTTCTCTTGTTACCACTTGCTCAAATTCGACTTGCATGCTTTGCTGAGTTGCTTACAAGCGTCATTCTAGTGACGTTTTTTAATATTTTTTATTATTAAAATGTTTCATGACGTTTTTTAAAAATAATTAATAATTAAGTTTAAAAATTGATTAAAAAATGATTAATTTTGAAAAATAAATTTTTGAGAGACATAAGGAGTGTTTTTTTTTGTTTTGTTTTGGTTGGGAGGGGTTCTTTAAATTTTAAAAAACACTGGGATGACGAACAGGAGGGCTTTTATGATTTGTTTAAATGAATTTTTGATTTGAATTGATTTGATTAAACTCTTCCAAACACCTTTCTCTCTTTATAAAAATAGAATTTAATATTAAATCTGGTTCATACCCATATATAATATATAATAAATACACATATAAGACTCACGAATATATCTCGCTTACCAATCGGCACTTATAGTTTGAGAGTTATAGCATATGGTAGCGTAACAAGGCCTTGAAAGGAAAACTTGCCCAGGAAGTTTCCTCTCTTAAAAATAAGAAATAGTAAGTATTCTATCTTAGCGACTTAAAAAATAAGTTGATATAACTTATCAATCTAATGTGTTTAGTAAACTAAAATCCATTACGTATCACTTAACCTATATTTTGAATGATTTTGGACTCAGAACATGCGTATATCTAGATTTTAAAAGGGGTGTGGAAAAAAAAGTATATTCGTCTTGGATTTTTGTCTTCATTTCTGTTTCGGTTTCCTAATATCCTGTTGCCCCGCTTCTCTTTCACTATTACCATTAGGATTTAGGATGGTCATTACAGTTTGCATAAAAACATGCTCCTTTGAGAAGGAAAAACTTACAATGGAAGTTGGCTATAGGTTTCTTTCCATACTCAACGATCTCAAACTTGAATGCATCTCCTTCTTTAAGGCCATTAGCTATGGAGAACTTGCGCCATCCACTTCTGATAGAAACATGAGTGTCCTTGTGCTCCAACTCAACAGGCCATGACCTATGTTTTTCATCTCTGAGGATCATCTCACAATGTGAGTTAGCTAAACCATTCGATCTAGCAAACTTCATCGGAAGATTCTGCAGCAAAACATTTTATGTAGAAATAAAATATCACAAGACTTCATTCATGTTAGGTCTCCAGAATTTGTTGTTTAGGTAAATAAAGAATAAATTATACTTAGACGTCCTAAACTATACCTCTCATTTTACATTGCCGGCTAAAATATCAATTTTTATATTACACCATAAATTATTGATTTAAGTTTCACATTTTTCCGATCGTTGACTTTTGTCCGGTCTTTCATAAGAAATCAAGACAAAAATAGAATTCCACCTAGCTTAGGATGGGACAATCATACCTTTTAACATTGTAGAATTTCATTTTTTTTTTCCCAAATTTTTAGTGAAAAATCTGAGAAATCCATAGAATACAATGCAATGTAATGTGAGAGAACAAATAGTTTAAGAGGTAGTATGAAACGAGAGGTATAATTCAAAGAGTCTAAGCATAATTTGTCTTTAAATAAACAAGTAAATATACTCTCGACAATATTTAGAAGTGTCGATACTCACTAGAGTATAGTTTTTGATGCTATATGGCTTCAAAGTGGACACAAAATAAGGAAGGTCTTTCATTGTTGATGTAGTCTTTGGTTTAAAATCAGTCATGAATGGCTCATCCTTTTCAGCTGATCCTTCCAACACTTTAAAGGAAACAGTCTTGCAACAAATTAGCTCAGAAAAAAAAATCACTCAAAATTAGAAAGTAGTATGGGATCAAATTCAACAGTATAAAACAAAGAAAATCACCTGAGATAAAGATCCGTTCCATATTTTTTAATTATCTATGTGAATGGTCCTTTTGGTTAATTTACTTTGATGTAAAATCCTATCCTTGGTGTTGTATGGAACCTTTTTTCTCTTTTTTATTTATTGCAACTAAGAGTGGAAAGAGATACAACAGAGACAATATAGTACCATAGAGAATAAGCTGGGGCAAATGGGCGAGGGGAAATAAGGTTTTAAGAGCATTCATAACTATTATTAGTACAAGAAAGCCTTGAAGGGAAAACTTGCCATGGAAGTTCCAAATAGGCTTCTTTCCATTCTCGACGAGCTCGAACCCGAAAGAATCTCCCTCCTTTAGACCGTTGGTGATGCAGAATTCACGCCATCCACGTCCAATATAAACCTGACTGGCCTTATAAATAAGATTTACAGACCATGATCTTCGCTTCTTGTCTCTGAGAATCATCTCGCAACGTCTTTTGTTTAGGCCATTCGACCTAGCAAAGCCCATTGGGATATTCTACAAGAAATTGAACATTAATTTCACACAAAGTATTACACCTTTTTTGATCCTTTTTTGTTTCTGAGCGTAGAATCTTACCAATCTGTACTCTTTAATGTTATAAGGCTTCACGGTGGACATAAAATATGGATGATCAAGTGTAGACGAAGAAGGTCTCACTTTAGAATGCTTACTGTCTGGCTTCTTTTTGAGGATTTTATTAGACCCTTCAAAAGAAATCCATAAAATCAATCACTTGAGATTAAAATCAACAAAACAATAACCTGATAAAATGCCGTACTCTTGCAACTGCAATACATACTCAAATCACCAAATGCTATTCCTTTCCTGAATTACAGTTTGACCCCTGAATTATTCAGCCCTCAACTACCCTGAAGCTCATAAGTTTCCTCTCACTGTACATAAAGCAGGGGTGGAGCCAGAAAACTTTTTAAGAGTGGGCGCCTTAATTTTTTTTATTCAACCAATAATCAATANAGGGGTGGAGCCAGAAAACTTTTTAAGAGTGGGCGCCTTAATTTTTTTTATTCAACCAATAATCAATAAAAACATTAAAATAATATATTTATATTTACTATATTATATTTGATTTGAATATTTATTAATGGCAAAAGTCCTAAAATTGATAAGACGTATAGAAAAAATAATAATANTAAAAACATTAAAATAATATATTTATATTTACTATATTATATTTGATTTGAATATTATTAATGGCAAAAGTCCTAAAATTGATAAGACGTATAGAAAAAAAAAAGAAANATTTATTAATGGCAAAAGTCCTAAAATTGATAAGACGTATAGAAAAAATAATAATAATAAATTAATTACAACTTTTTTAAATAATGAGGCTGGTCAATCACAATTTCTACAATTGGCCAGATAAGTTTTAATATTCGAAAACATTATATAACAACTTCATTATCTATGACACCGGGAGTATCTTTTTATACAATCAAAATCTCTGGCATTCATTTTTAATATTTGAAACCATTATATAACAACTTCATTATCTATGACATCGAGAGTATCTTTTAATACAATTAAAATCTTCGGCATTTATTAATCATTCATTCGGTTACGCAACTTAGTTTTCACAGTCTTTAATTTATTTTATTTTATACACTATCTTCTAAGATTAAAATCAAAGTATGAAAATAGAAAAGCCAATAAACAAAAATTTAAGAAGTATAGTGCTGCAGTTTTTTTTTGGTTCAAAATATAGTGCTGCAGTTGAAATCTAGCTAAAATACAATTAAACACAATAATCACCAGTCAAATAGAAATAAAAAAGCCAACCCTACAAAATAATAGTATANAGCTAAAATACAATTAAACACAATAATCACCAGTCAAATAGAAATAAAAAAGCCAACCCTACAAAATAATAGTATATTACAAGCAAATTTCAACTTCATATTAAAAACATAGAACAAAAAAAAAACATAAATATGCAAATCAAGACCAATTTAACACAATAAAAATAAATAAACAAGTATTTTGATCTATCATTAAATCGTTTTAATATAGAAATACAATTAATGTAATGCCTCATAAACATATATCTATATCTATACAAAGAAAAAAGATTAAAAAAAAATTGAAGAAGAAACAAATTTAAAATTTTTGAGGTTGGGCAAGGCCCCTTGGCCCCTAAGTAGATCTGTGACATAAACTAAATAGTAGATCTAAACCAGAAAAACCCCAATTTCTAATGAATACTCCTAACCTAAAAAATATAATCTAATATCCTAACATAATGATGTGTCAAGTAACATGATCTCATTAACAAAATCCAACAGTTATAAATAGAAGAAAGTTCTTTGACTTATATCATTAGATAAATATCTTTGGTCGAAATTTTAAATTCCAACTGCACGACAGTGCTAGTTTAGGGCCATGCAAAAGCCACTTGCCAATTTACCGCCCAAAACTTCACAGATGTTGGTAACTGGTACAATGTAAAAGCCAAACTTATAGTTAGAGGTATCTTGTGAAAAGTATTACTATAATTAAAGATTCAATAACCAATAAGATCAAAGTTTAGGGTGTCGGACAGTAATGTTTCCCGCAATACTTTACAATTTTCATTATCTACAAGAGATGCAAAGGAACTTACGATCAAATCTCTTCACAGATTTTGCCTTTGGACTTTCTCTTTCCTGCATTGATTCAACTTCTCTGACATCGCACGGTGGACATTCTCTCTCACATGCACTTGGCTTGAACACCATAACATCAAACACCATGTGTCCTTCATGCCTGAAGACTATGAAGTCACCTACATGTAAATCCTCGTTCTCGGCAAACTTTCTCCAGCCATCTCCGAAACGGTGGCCATTGATGTTCACTGCCCACTTTTTGCAACCTCTTCTCAGTAATGCATGCTCGCAGTTCTGCCCAGCAAGGTACTTGAAGAAAGACTTGGGAATCAACTGCAGCAATATGCATGATATCCTTAGCAAACATACACACACACACAAAAACACACACACAGAGACTCACAAGTCCACGTAGGAAACCAGGTAGGATGGGCCGGAAGAAGTGAGGCTTCTTTGGAGGGATCCTCATGGCTGACAGTATAGAAGAACAGGTAAGGTTTGTATGCAAGTTCTTTGACCCTTTTGATGGAGTTTATACAGATTAAAAATGCATGGGTGGGTAGTTGTAGCAATCAATGTACGATTAGATACATTGTTTACAATGTCCATTTAGATACCTCCCATAAAAGAACACAATCAATGTCCATTTAGGGCTGATGACCATTTGGGCGGCGTTTTGTAATGATTACTTCGGGACTGTCAGTGTTCCATCTTTTGTTAATTCTATTTATACCATAAAAATTATCTATTTTATTAAATAATATGATCTCAATATGTAAGTCTAATAATTACAATTAGAATAATGTTATTGCACTATCTTAACTACGACATTATTATATTAGTAAACTATTTCAAATATTTAAATATAAATAACATTACTATCTATAGGGGTGTTCACCCTACTCATAGTCTTTCGTCTTCTTACCCAATACTTTATGAAAAAAAAAAAATTTTGGCCTACCCTATCCGATCAGGTATGGTATTCCTACTAGATTACTCGGGTAGGAAGTCGGGTAAACACTTTTATAACTATTAATTTTTGGATCATTTTAACAANACTATCTATAGGGGTGTTCACCCTACTCATAGTCTTTCGTCTTCTTACCCAATACTTTATAAAAAAAAAAAATTTTTGGCCTACCCTATCCGATCAGGTATGATATTCCTACTAGATTACTCGGGTAGGAAATCGGGTAAACACTTTTATAACTATTAATTTTTGGATCATTTTAACAATTCAATTAAATAACATGCATCAATTTAACAACACCATAAATCAATAACGCTAAAATATAAAACAACTATAATAACAATTATAATAAAACATAAGAAAGTAAGAACATTAATCTATCATAATTGTTACACAAATATAATAACAATTATTTTAAGTTTAAACTATATGAAACACATTAAAATCATAATTGCTCAAATAGATAACCAATTCACCATAAATTATGTAACCTACACAAAAACAAGTCCATGTTTTTGCAATTTAAACATCCACAACAATAACAATGTTATAAAATAAATTATATCACATAAATATTCTTATAATTACTAAAAANAAACTATATGAAATACATTAAAATCATAATTGCTCAAATAGATAACCAATTCACCATAAATTATGTAACCTACACAAAAACAAGTCCATGTTTTTGCAATTTAAACATCCACAACAATAACAATGTTATAAAATAAATTATATCACATAAATATTCTTATAATTACTAAAAAAATATAAAAAAGTTAAATATATTTTTTGCGGGTAAGGTAATGTAGGAATGCGAAAATTGATGGATATTTCGTATTTTTACCCGATATAATCGGAAGACCAAAAACTCTTCCGCATTCCTACCCGAGTTTTGTAGNATGTAGGAATGCGAAAATTGATGGATATTTCGTATTTTTACCCGATATAATCGGAAGACCAAAAACTCTTCCGCATTCCTACCCGAGTTTTGTAGCTAATCGTTCAGTAGAATAAGATAGGGTCGAGTAGGGTAGAAAATTACGACCAATTGAAAATTTAAACACCCCTAACTATTTGTACTTCAAATATCAACATTGACATCGGAATTTATGATAAATTTAACATTTGCACAAAGTTGGCATCGGAACTGGCCTGGCCAATCCCAATCCCATCACCTTGTGAAAGAAAAAGGACAAATGGTGGCAACACCGCATGTAGTTAGATATAGGAACATGCATAGATATACGTATGGTTGAAGGAAATCTCTCTCTTAGTTCATATAATTTGTTTTCATATGAGTAATATTATCGTGACCTAATTTATTAATCTAATTCACTATAATCTTTGAATTAACAGTGAGCTCTATCAAACATTGAAACTTGGTGTTTATCCAATCGTTTCATTAAAACCACGTTATTAAGTTAACAAAATTATGTGAGGTATTTAGATCCAAATAACATTTTCCTTTCCATATTACTCTGGCTATCATGTTCGGAATTATAGTAATGATGTCATGAAAGATGCTTTCTCAATTACTTGCATGCTATCTCCTCTGATCAATTAAATTAGAAACGAACATGAATAAAAAATAAAAAGAAAAATAAAAAATTAGAAGAATCATGTCCATAATTTGAAAATATACTAAATAAAATAACTAAAAGCTAACTTTCTTGACATGTTGATTAAAATATTATTTCAGAGTTCTGTTTTAATTTTCATTTCTATTTCAGTATAAATTAAGAAAATGAATTAATATTGTTGACATTTTGACCAAGTAGTGTACAATATGACAATGGCAAGACTATAAAATTTCAACTTCCATCATGTATTCTACTAGACACAACTAACAGCTGGGGGTGACATCGTAAATTTAGAAAACCAAAAGTGTCCCCTTGTATTTAGGACATTCTGTACGTGTCTAAGTGCGATTTACTCAAGGAAAACCCAAGCAATAAAATCTCATCAATGTTCATGCATGTAACCTAAAAGGGTGGATGCTTCAGGCGAGTCACACCGAAGGAAGATGTTATGAAACTCACCCCCAAAAGGCGTTAGGGGGCTGCTCAAAAACAATTTCAGATCTAAAGAAACAATCTCCTATTTACTTTTTTTAGTACTAATATACATAAAGCAAATATTTATTACGATCAAAAGTATACAGGACCATGGTAGTGCACGATAAATAAGTATCATAAAGTGTTGCAACTCCTTCTATGAGGATGTTGTTTGAGAAAAACTAGGATTTGATATTACAAAAAACATTTTGGTTAAAAGTCCCTAGTATAAAAATGTCTATTTTAACCTTTTTTGCATGTTAATCGATATCAAACTCCAGATAGGAAGCTTCGATTTCTCTCCCCTGAAATCCCCACTTTTGGAAAATCCTTAATTTTCAGTTTGAATAAAAAAAAATGTATGAAGCGGCTTTCTCCATTATCATTGATGATACCTCAAACAAGCGCTAGCTATGAACTCAGGTCAGGAGGTCAGGAAATACACAGGGGACTCAGAGCACCAGGGGTAGAGCTCCCATTGGGGAGATTGTAACAGAACCGACCAGGAAATAGCTAGATGACTGAGAAAACTGAGCCTAATACATGAAACTCTCAACCAACCAAGATTCTCTTCTAAAATCAAGGATAATCCCATGAATAATTGGCAAAGATCTCATCTGAAATTTTACATAATAGGGAGCAGCCTTATAAATACTATGTAACACCTCATCGAGGGGGGAAGACCCTAGAAGAACTCTAATTAGTTCATGCATTGTATTGTAATACATTCAAGTAGTCAATAGAGAAAAAAAAAAGAGTCAGAGCCTCCATTAGAGAGTGGATTAGCCGAGCTCCAAAGCCGATGCACCACTATATTTCTACCGTGCAAATTCCCCCATCTTCTAAGAAACACTTCATCACTACCGTTATGCAGTTAGCAGCCTAAATTCACCTTTGATCCCACGCACTTTGTTCACCCACATTAGTCCACACCATCAGTTTGGCGCCGTCTATGGGAACGACTGTTTCTGTTACAAATAAGCTGATTTCTCAGTGACTGATGATATCAACACGCAACATGAGCAGAAGCCAAATAAACCCACCTCGGATGTAGGACCAACAAGGAGCCACTAATGGCAGACAGCCTGGTACTAGAGACTGATCCTCCCATGGGGAACCCCCCCACAAATAACAAGATGGAGGCCCTTCGCCTCGTCAATCAACGCTTGATAAAGCAAAACGAAGAGCTCTTGAAGCTCTTACAGTGCTCACAAGAGGCACGTCCGGCTCAAGAAGGNCCTCGTCAATCAACGCTTGATAAAGCAAAACGAAGAGCTCTTGAAGCTCTTACAGTGCTCACAAGAGGCATGTCCGGCTCAAGAAGGTCAGAACAGTCCCCGTCACAGGGATCAACAACATCTTGATCCACTCGGAGAAGACAACGAAGGAGGGGAGAACAGCCAAACCTTGGGGCAGGTTCCCCAACTACCCCCTAGGAATGGCCACAATTAAGAAGTACAAATTCAAAACCATGAAGGTGAAAAAAATGGTGTCTTCCCTTATCAGCAGGAGAGAAGGGAACAATATTGGGAGCAACGTTTCAAGGGCATCCAATAGGAGCTCGGCCACATGAAGGAAACNATGGTGTCTTCCCTTATCAGCAGGAGAGAAGGGAACAATATTGGGAGCAACGTTTCAAGGGCATCCAATAGGAGCTCGGCCACATGAAGGAAACAGTCAGAAGTAAAGCTCCAGTTACAATGGACGCCTTGGTGCAGCAGACTGAATCTCTATTCACGCCTGGGATGTTGCATTTTTCTCTCCCACCAAAGTTCAGGATGCCACAGATAGAGTCCTTTGATGGAACCGGGGACCCCATGGACCACTTTAATACTTATAAGAACCAGATGGAGTTGCATGGGTACTAGGACCCCGTACGCTGTCGAGCCTTTGCCATCACTTTGAAGGGTTCAGCCTTGGTGTGGTTTAACAGGCTCCCCCCGGCCTCAATCTCTTCCTTCAAAGAACTTTTCATTTTCTTCGTGTCCCATTTCATAGGGGCGTGNGTTCAGCCTTGGTGTGGTTTAACAGGCTCCCCCCGGCCTCAATCTCTTCCTTCAAATAACTTTTCATTTTCTTCGTGTCCCATTTCATAGGGGCGCGGACCTATAGAAAGCCGAGCTATCATCTTTTGAATGTGAAACAGGGACCTCAAAAAAACCTCAGGTCTTATGTCCAAAGATTTAAATTAGAATCGCTAAAGGTGGATGTCCCTGACGAGAAGTTCATCATCACTACCTTCATAGTTGGTCTAGGGGTGCAATCTAAAGATTTGATGTTCTCCATATCAAAAAATTCCCAAGCAAGCATGACCGAGGTGCTTGCCAAAGCAGAGAAATACATAAACGGTGAAGAACCTCTTCTTTTTAAAGTAGGGAGCTCTTCCACACATAGAGATAAGGGAAAGGAAAAAAAAAGAGGAACCGAAGTCCTAGGAAAGAG